GTCCTGAATCCATTTATGACGTCGTTTTCCCAAATTCAATCATCTTAGTATAGTTTTATTAATTGGTCCCTTTATGTGCTTATGTGCATTTGTTTGTGGTGTTTCCGTCCTCGCTAATTGCACGGCTCCTTGACGACAGAGTATCTGTGAGTGGACCCATTCCAAAATGCATGTTTTTACTATTAGAAATGCATACATGAAAAGCATGATTTTATGACTACATTTTATGAAACGTTTATGAGTAAATCGGATGTATGCTTTATCGAATTTATGTTTACTAAGATATCTATGAATATGGATTTATGATATGATTGTTTGAGCTATTGAGCTTCGATGAGATATATTTTAAATTGAAGATCGAATTCATTCATTGTATTCATATAGGGTCAAGGAGTGTAGCTGTAAAAAATCATCAAAATCGGAGTTAAAATAACCATTAAATCGTGTTTTTTCGTAGATAACTGTCGAAAAGTTTTGTCCCATTACTTGATCTTTGAATGTTTGTTTTTTTCGATTTTTGGCATATGCGATCTTGAAGCATATACAAACAAGTTTGACGGTTGGATCGTTGAAACTAGTTTCGTAGAATGTGTATCCCATCCAAACAATAGATTCACTAACACTTAGAGTTTATTTACACTTTCATCAAGTATAACATAAGATTTTGCGGTATCCACTATTGTAAATTTTTTAAATTGAAAATCGAATTCATTCATTGTATTCATATAGGGTCAAGGAATGTAGCTGTAAAAAATCATCAAAATCGGAGTTAAAATAACCGTTAAATCGTGATTTTTCGTTTATAACCGTCGAAAAATTTTGTCCGTTACTTGATCTCTAAATGTTTGTTTTTTGCAATTTTTGGCATATGCGATCTTAAAGTATATATAAACATATTTGAAGGTTGGATCGTTGAAATTAGTTTCGTAGAATGCGTATCCCATCAAAATAATAGATTCACTAATACTTAAGAGTTTATTCATACTATCATTAAGTATAACATAAGATTTTGTGGTATCCACTATTGTAAATATTTTAAATTGAAGATCGAGTTCACTCATTGTATTCATATAGAGTCAAGAAGTGTAGTTGTAAAAAATCATCAAAATCAGAGTTAAAATAACCATTAAATCGTGATTTTTCGTTTATAGCTGTCGAAAAGTTTTGTCCCATTACTTGATCTCTGAATGTTTGTTTTTTGCAATTTTTGGCATATGCGATCTTAAAGTATATCTAAACATATTTGAAGGTTGGATCGTTAAAATTAGTTTCGTAGAATGCGTATCCCATCAAAACAATAAATTCACTAACACTTAAGAGTTTATTCATACTTTCATTAAGTATAACATAAGATTTTGTGGTATCCACTAGTGTAAATATTTTAAATTGAAGATTCATTCATTGTATTCATTTAGGGTCAAGGAGTATAGCTGTAAAAAATCATCAAAATCGGAGTTAAAATAACCATTAAATTGTGATTTATCGTTGATAACTGTCGAAAAGTTTTATCTCGTTACTTCATCTCTAAATGTTTGTTTTTTGTGATTTTTGGCATATGAGATCTTGAAGCACATACAAACAAGTTTGACGGTTGGATCGTTGAAATTAGTTTCGTAGAATGCGTATCTCATCAAAACGATAGATTCACTAACACTAGAGTTTATTTATACTTTCATTAAGTATAACATAAGATTTTGTGGTATCCACTAGTGTAAATTTTTTAAATTGAAGATCGAATTCATTCATTGTATTCATATAGGGTCAAAGAGTGTAGCTGTAAAAAATCATCAAAATCAAAGTTAAAATAACCGTTAAAACGTAATTTTTCATTTGTAACCGTCGAAAAGCTTTGTCCTGTTACTTAATCTTTAAATGTTTGTTTTTTCCAATTTTTGGCATATGTGATCTCAAAGTATATGCAAACATGTTTGACGGTTGGATCGTTGAAATTAGTTTCGTAGAATGCGTATCCCATCAAAACAATAGATTCACTAACACTTAAGAGTTAATTCATACTTTCATTAAGTATAACATAAGATTTTGTGATATCCACTAGTGTAAATATTTTAAATTGAAGATCGAATTCATTCATTGTATTCATATAGGGTCAAGGAGTGTAGCTGTAAAAAATCATCAAAATCGGAGTTAAAATAACCGTTAAATCGTGATTTTTCGTTGATAACCGTCGAAAAGTTTTGTCCCGTTACTTGATCTCTAAATGTTTGTTTTTTGCAATTTTTTGCTAATGCGATCTCGAAGCATATACAAACAAGTTTGGCGGTTGGATCGTTGAAATTAGTTTCGTAGAATTCATATACCATCAAGTTCAATGGTGTGTATATATATTTATTAAGTAGATTTAAATTTATTTATTTTGTACGTATAATACTTAAGAAATTGAATGGTATGTATATTTAAGCAGATCCAATGGTCGCCAATTTTTAATATTTAATTTAATATATATATATAATTATTATAGTTTTTAGGGGCATAAAATTGTTAAATTAATGTATATAATTATTATAGCATATTTTTAGGGTTATATAAAATTATAAAACTAATATTTTGCTTATCGTGTATCGTGATATCCACGTGTATATTCGAACCAACCCGTTATCTTAAGAGGTGCTTATCGGGTTACCCGATAACAACCCGATTCGTTATCGTGTCGACCCAAACACTTGTTAATTTTGTGTCGTGTCGTGTCGGGTTATCGGGTCGTGGCAGGAATTGTCAGGCCTAATGATGATCAAGGAAATTCATGTCTGATCTTTTTACATGATGGAACTTTTGGTCCAATCATTTTATATGATAAGGATCAAGAAATTGTAGGTTCTGATCTGACAAGGAACTTCGAGTCCTGTATATACTCATCATAACAAAAGAAGTACAATAAATAAATTAAAGCAATATGCGGTAATTCCAGCCATAATAAATAAATTGCTTTTAAGTAAATAAAGCTTATGACAAGGACTTTAATTCAATACTATTCACATACATCAAAGCTTAAAGTAAAGGGCAATAATTACACCCACCGTAAATTAATTGCTTTTAAGTAAATGGAACTTGTGAAAGGGCTTTAAACTATCAACATTCACATAAATAAAGCAATAATAGAAAAGGGTGATGATTAAGTTTCCATCATTTTTTTTTCTTTTCTTTTTCTTTGTATGCCACTTCCTTTTGTTTCATCCCTTTTATTTTTTTTTTATTTTTTTTATTTTCACAACTCTAAGTCCTTTTAGTTACTCAAGGAGTAATGATAGCAATAAGTCTCAATTTGTGTTCCTACTCCGGTAAGTTTCGAAAGAGTCGAAACGGTTCCCATAAGTTTTGGAGTCAAGAGGAGTGCCTGCAACTTATGAGAAGATCAAACTATTAGATTTAACTCAAATTTTAGTACGATATGGATAAGAGGATACCGAACAACTTTCGTGAAGAAATAGTTTTGACTGAGCTACTAAAAACAGAGTTTTGGTACTCATAAGATGGCTGTTCAGTTTTCTGCAGGATTGGAAACTAGGTTGGTGCTTCAAACATTTGTGATGATTGCACCATTGGAATTTTCTGAAAATTTGATATGTTATAGATACTGGGTGGACGAACAACTTTCAAGAAGAAAGTATTTCAATCTGAGGTCAGCAAGTTGGAGTTTAAAGGCTGTTTACATGGCTGTCAGATTTTCTACGAATTTTGAGTTTGTACTCTTTTGCTTCTACAAAGGATGATATACAATCATACAACAAGATATATAGTTGCTTCAAGAAAATCAATAGTACAAAGATTTGAAGATGAAATGAAAGATTTTTTTATCTGTGAGATTCCAGTTGACATAGGTGAGAGGTAGGTAGTGCTTCACTGGATTTGTGGCGTTGTGTTTTCCACTGACACGAGAGCTTCTCGTGTTGATAACATGTTGTAAAATTAACGGTATATGTGTAGTGGAATAAATGAAACAAGACACAATATTTACGAGGTTCCTCTACAATCAGTGTGACTGGAGTACGTCATCAGGGCAGCAATGGTGCTTTCATTCATTATCTGGAATAATAGGAGTACAAAGATAACTCTCTCTATTCTCTCCTCTCTTCTTCCATAATTTCCTCTCTTGTTGATGAATTCTCCTCCTTCCCCTCTCATTCATTTTATAGACAAAATCCTTTACCTACTACACCCATTAATGCTTTGGTGTCTTCCATACTCATGCTTTGGTGCCTTCCACCCTAACAAACAATGGACATCCATATTTACAACATAATATATGTACGCTTAGACATCTAAATAACCCATTATATGTGTAAAATAAGTAAAAATTATAATTAAAAGATATACAATCGATTCAGTTTAGTTTTGGTCAATTTCAAAAGTGAAACAAAACAAACCAACATAAAATCGGTTCAGTTTTTAAATTGTGTAACTTGTTTCTCGTCAAAATGAAACTAAACCGACCAAAACGGTTCAGATTGGCTAGTTTGGACGGTTCAGTTAGTTTATGCCCACTACTAAATTTAAGTGTGTGTGAGTTTCACATGATCCATGCACAATTTTTCCCATAACTCATTACTTTGTGAGAGAACAGGATATTTGAAAATATTTTGTGGAACAATGTTACACCGTCACGTATAGAATCTCTTTGCCTAATATTAATTATAGTTTTAGGTAACTCCAGTCATTGACATCTTCATGATGATTATAGCCAAACGATTGGACATTTACCATTTCTTGTTCATGTTTTTTCCCTTGAACATTTTTTTTTCATGTGTAAGTAAAAAGTTTTATGTAATTGAGAAGTTTTAAGTTTAGACATCGATGCATTCAATTATTCCACCCTTCAATGTAAATATATATAGTTTTACAAAAAAAAAAAAAAAAAAAAAGTTTGAACGAAAGGACATACTGGGCTGGAATGTCCCATGTTATGGGCTAAATATTTTGTAGCCCAAAAACCAAAAGAGCCCACTTTATTTGGTTTCGATATCTCCTTCCATTTGGATACTGCGTTCTCCAGTTAACCACCGTTCGAAACTCATCAATGGAGGTGCCAACCACAGCTTCCAGCTTCGCGCTCCACACATGTTAGCAACGGCCACCACTCCCCGAGCCCTGAACACTACCCGCCCAATCTGATGTCGTCTCATTCCCCTCCCAGAGCCTCCCTTTCCACCAGCTTCCTCTCTCCCTTCGCCGGCAACAGCCTCTCCTCCGACTTCTCCGGCCACAAGCTCCGCCCTTCCTCCCTCCCTCAATCCGGCGTCGTCTCGTGGCTCCAAACCCAAACGCGGCGTCGTCACCATGCTACTCCCCCGAATTACTTTCATGCATTTTACTCTCACCTTGTGAGTTTTTTACTGATTCTTTCGATTTAGTAGTAAAATTTAGCTCAATTCAAATTTAACTGGATGGAATTTGAGATTTTGGGTCATGTTGGTTTCAATTATTATGTAATGAAGTTTGAAATTTCGAATTGAATTGAAATTTGTGTGTTTAGGTTATCCATTTCGAATTGAATTGAGATTTTGGGTCACGTCGGCACATGTGGTGCGTCGAGTACAATCTTGAAGAAGAGGAAACACCAGCAGGATCACATTTGAAGGTACGAATGTTTGTGATAGTGGTTTAGATAATGAAGGAAATGATTAGTCACTAATCTCGTATTACAGAATTTAAACACACGTCCAAGTGCTTACGAACTCAGTACAGAGAAATGGTGTGCTTGGAACAAGGCAAATGGAGGGCAAAGGATGACGATTCACCTACCCCCCATTTGGGATTTGGACAGGAAGCCTACTCTAATTGAAACGATCTCTAATTTGAGTGTGTTATTTTTGTGCGTCTATATAACATTACTCTGTTCTCTCGGGTAATATTCTTCCCCCGCATAAGTTTCTCAGGAAAGTAAAACTTTTTCCGAGAAAATATTAATGGTTTTCGTTAGTTACTGTTTGTGTTTATTTTTAAATAAAAATTTAAAAAATGACTGTACAATATATGATGAACCTGATTGATTGATCTTCAAAATCCGGATAGTACCTGTTCCCTCTCTCACCACACTCCAACATCTGGAATTTATACTTTTATGTTATCTCGGGTAATTGTCTTCCCCTGGACAAGTTTCCCAGGAATATAAAAGTAAAAGTAAAACTTTTCCCAAGAAAATTTCCATTGTTTCCATCGAAGCTAAAACCAAACAACATCAAGAAAACTCCTTTTGGGTTTGAATCTTGATCATGGGTGGTGATTCTCCATTATCAGGTAATTACTTTTCCTCTCATATATTATCTTCTAATTCTAATGTTTTGGTTATCAGCTGTGCATTTTAGTCATGGCATATGAAAGATTGATCGTACTGTGGCCTGGTTTTTCTATTTGTATGTTTTTCATGGGAATCCTATCAATTTGTTGAGAATTTGTCAAAAGAATTTGTAATGTCTTTGGAGATTAGAAACATCCTTTTGATTAGGAATGCTAATCTTAATATTAGTAGTTATGGGTGAGGAGAAAAAGAGAAGAAGGCAGTAAATTTCACAAGAAAAATCTTGGTTTGGATAATCTTTGTGTTAAATTAAAAGGGACGTGCCTATTTGTAAGGGCAACAATATGGTTTGATGAAACATTTAATCATCTGTCAATATTTGAGAAAACTCTGAAACAGTATTTGTATCGCCAGGATGCCCGAAGGGCCGGCCGTATGTATCTCAGAGGAAAGCAAGAATGTGGATGGCTTGTATGTCAGTGGTCAAGTGAACTCCACTTGTAATGACTGAAAGCGTTTTTGGTGAAATATTATTGAAATCAATCTTTAGTAAAAATCTAAGTGGATCTTGAAAAAGCTTTTAAGTGTTTCCTGCATGAAGCACATACTGGTGCTTATTTTGAAAAGCACTTAAGTGCTTTGGGAACCCAAAATCAATTTACCAAAAGCGCTTTCAATCATTTAAAAGTACTTCCAAACGAGCCTTTACTTAGGGCTCGTTTGATAATTATTTCGTTTTTAGTTTTGTTTTCATTTTTTCCTTGGTAGAAATAGAGGGAATGTATATGGAGGAATGAGAAATAAAGAAGGCGGGGGGAGAAAGTAGAAAACAAAAACTAGAAACTTGAAAAGCTACTAAATATTGTTCCGGTTTTTAGTTTTTACTTTGTGTACTCTTCCATGTACATTTCTCCCACACCCTTCCCGCCATCATTCCTCCACCTTCCTTCATCCGTCTTTTCTCCTTTGTATTTCTCCTCTATTCCTAACAAAAACGGGAAAACTAAAAACGAAATGGTTACGGATTTTGTTTATATGATGCGTGTTCCCATGTATAGTTATCTCTCTCCAAGAAAAGCACTTGGACTTAATTTTTGACAGACCTTCGTTTGTAGTCTTGTCTGTGCTTAGTAGGAAAATGCTTCTCAATGCTTCTTGGTTGCAGAAACTAGATCAGAAGAAAATCAATTCGACCATGAAGATGTAAACGAAACGCGTTCAAAGGAAGCAAAGGGAAAGAGACTCAGGAAGAAAGTTAAATATCAGCTTATTGAATACCATTCATTGCCTGATTTTTTAAGGGACAATGAGTTCATTTTGGGTCATTACCGATCGGAATGGCCATTGAAGCAGGTGTTTCTAAGCATCTTTTCCATTCATAATCAGACTCTTAATGTCTGGACGTAAGTACTCTAGTGCCTAATACTTATTACCGCAATACAATGCAATGGTTATTTGTTTTTTGAAGCTGTGCCTCTCAAGTAAATAACATTGCTGAGAAATGCTTTTAAGACCATTGCTCTTAATAGTTATTCACACACCCCTAACTCGTTTTGGTCTCCATTTGCACTGAACTTGCACTCCATATATTCTGTCTTTGATCGGCTTAGGCGAAGACCTTTAGATTCCAACACTTCTCTCCAAAGGTTAAGCTTTGCATTTACCCCTTCCTGAGTTTCATCTATCAACACTATATCGTCTGCGAAAAGCATACACCAAGGAATATCATCTTGAATATGTCCTGTTAACTCATCCATACATGGATGAGTTAACAGGACATTCAAGATGATATTCCTTGGTGTATGCTTTTCGCAGACGATATAGTGTTGATAGATGAAACTCAGGAAGGGGTAAATGCAAAGCTTAACCTTTGGAGAGAAGTGTTGGAATCTAAAGGTCTTCGCCTAAGCCGATCAAAGACAGAATATATGGAGTGCAAGTTCAGTGCAAATGGAGACCAAAACGAGTTAGGGGTGAGGATCGGAGATCAAGAAATACCAAAGAGCTACCGTTTTCGTTACCTAGGATCTATCTTGCAAAAGAACGGAAAATTAGATGGAGATCTCAACCATAGAATACAAGCTGGATGGATGAAGTGGAAGAGTGCATCCGGCGTGTTGTGTGACCGCCGTATGCCACTGAAGCTCAAGGGAAAATTTTATAGGACGGCAATAAGGCCGGCGATGCTGTATGGCACATAATGTTGGGCGGTGAAGCATCAACACGTACACAAAATGGGTGTAGCGGAGATGAGGATGCTTCGTTGGATGTGTGGGCACACGAGAAAGGATAAGATTAGGAATGAGGATATCCGGGGTAAAGTAGGAGTAGCCGAAATTGAACGAAAGATGAGAGAAAATCGGTTACAGTGGTTTGGACATGTGCAAAGAAGGCCTACTGACGCTCCGATTAGAAGATGCGACTATGGGACAGAGGTTCAGGGCCGAAGGGGTAGAGGAAGACCTAGGAAAACTTTGGAAGAGACCCTAAGAAAAGACTTAGAGTACTTGGATCTCACGGAGGACATGAGACAAGACAGAACACAATGGCGTTCTAAGATTCATATAGCCGATCCCACTCAGTGACTTGGATTTTCTAAGTCTCCAACCGAGAAGTTTTCCTCACTCGGGAAATTAAGGGAACACTACCTCAACCTACATGCTCCACTCACAAAGCTTCAACATACAAGCTTCAACAAAAGAAAATTCAAAGAACTTAGCGAAGAAGGCTTTGGTTTATTTAACACAATACGTTGAAATGAAGGAAAGCTTATTTATTGATATCCCCGATAAGTTACAAATATGTACATATACTTGAGTCAAAATAAACAAACAAGAGGGAGCCTTCACAAAGGTTGCTTAGGAGAAGTCTTAGCAGTCGGTAGAGCCCCAGAAAGAGAAGGCACCGGATGGGGATCATTCGGAGCCTCAGTACTGGACAGAACCCTAGAAGGATGAGGCATCAGAGGTTGATCATTTGGAGCTTCATTACGCGGTACAGCCCCAGAAGACGAAGGCAATAAATGCCTTTGGAACAAACCCACAAATCTCTGATGATCAAGTAAAACCTGACCATCAGATTCCTTCATCTGGTCAAGCTTCCTCTTCATGTTTGTAGCATAGTCATGTGCGAGCCGGTGCAACTGTTTATTCTCATGCTTGAGCCCTCTAATCTCCTGTTTGAGACTCATCACTTCAGCCGCCAATGATTCAACTTGGCGGGTTCGAGCAAATAGGCGTTGGGTCATATTAGAAGACACAGAACCTGCACACTGAACACTGAGAGCCAGAGAATCCTTAACAGCCAACTCATCAGACCGTTTGGAAAGTAGTCTGTTATCTTTGGGAGTGAGAAGGTTCCTGGCCACTACCGCAGCGGTCATATCATTCTTCATCACGGAATCCCCAACGGTAAGAGGACCAGTAGGGGAGACGAAGGATGGGCGCCATATGTTGTCTGGAGAAGGCGGGGCTGCCTCTTCAACAAGGTTCAAGTCAAAACGACGGTCGGAGGGGCCAGACATTTTCAAAGGTGTTGAAGAAGAGAGAAGAGGTCGGACAAATCAAGATCTTAGAAGTGCAAGAATGGAGCTTCTACTGGTGGATATTCAAGTGTGCTTTGGAACTTAATGTCAGCCCTTATAAAAATCTGCACTCGACGAAGCTTCAGAAATCGAAGAGGCGCCTGCTCAGAAATCGAATAGGCGTTTGCTTTCTCAAAGGCTGGGCTGCTCAGAGACCACGAGGGTCGATCTCAGAAATCGAAGAGGCGTTTGCTTTCTCAAAAGCTGGGCTGCTCAAAGACCACAAATGCCGATCTCAGAAATCGAAGAGGCTTGCTTTCTCAAAAGCTGGGCTGCTCAGAGACCACGAGGGCCGATCTCAGAAATCGAAGAGGCACCTACTTTTCCAGCCTTGTCAGCACCTGTCACACGCACACTCAGCTTTGCGGAAATTATGGGCATTCTGTCGAAGATTTCTGGCGAAGTAGAAAGCACATGAATCGTACTGTTCAATCACCCACTTCCCACATGCAACAGTAGCTCATGGGTACCACAGATAACTTTGCCAAAGTTCTCTGACAAAGTTGAGACACGTGAAGCTTGCAGCTCCTACTACATCGCTCTGACCAAGAAGGGTAAAAGAATAGCAAAGAAACAACACTAACAAAGTTTAGACACATAAATTTTGAAGGTCTAGCTACCATATTATTACCCACAAGGGTAAAGGAACAGTACCACTGCTGGATAATTGGAAAGTCCCGGTGTGTCAACCTCTGTGCTTCGTGGCAAGGTAGACTAGCAAACATGCCCAACCTTTACTCACATTCGAGAAAACACTCATAACAAGATTGCTTGCTCCAAAATCGAAGAGGCACCGCCTTCCGAATCTCGAGAGCCAGACTCCCAACATGATTACTTTCTCAAAAATCGAAGAGAGGGTAAAGGAACAGTACCACTGCTGGATAATTGGAAAGTCCATGTGTGTCAACCTCTGTGCTTCGTGGCAAGGTAAACTAGCAAACATGCCCAACCTTTACTCACATTCGAGAAAACACTCCCAACAAGATTGCTTGCTCCAAAATCGAAGAGGCACCGCCCTCCGAATCTCGAGAGCCAGACTCCCAACATGATTACTTTCTCAAAAATCGAAGAGAGGGTAAAGGAACAGTACCACTGCTGGATAATTGGAAAGTCCCTGTGTGTCAACCTCTGTGCTTCGTGGCAAGGTAGACTAGCAAACATGCCCAACCTTTACTCACATTCGAGAAAACACTCCCAACAAGATTGCTTGCTCCAAAATCGAAGAGGCATTGCCATCCGAATCTCGAGAGCCAGACTCCCAATATGATTATTTTCTCAAAAATCGAAGAGACACCGCTCTCCGAATCTCGAGAGCCAGACCCCCAGCAGGATTGCTTTCTCAAAAATCGAAGAGACATCGTTATCCGAATCTCGAGAGCCAGATCCCCGACAGGATTGCTTGTTCGAAAACCGAAGAGGCACCACTTTCCCAACTTCAAGAGCTGGATCTCCTTGGATAAAGCTTGTCCGTAATCTTCACACGCAACATCAGCTTTCCAGATACCACAGACCACTTTTTCAAAGTGCTCTGACAGAGTTAAAACATGTGAAGCTGGCAGCTCCCACTACCGTGCTATGACCAAGCAGGGTAAAGGAATAGCATTATTACTTGATGTTAGGGAGACTCCTATATATGTCGACCTCCATCCCTAACGGACAGGCAGACCTGCAAAAATGCTCAACCATTCCTCTTATCTGAGAGGGCACTCCCAACGAAGCCTTTCGAAATATTCAGCTTTCTTTCCCCCCGATAATACATCTGTAAACAAGAGCAAGAATATCTCATATCATCATGGTTAAAAGCAAGAGTATCCTATATCATGCTTTTTCCCTGTCTTTTCCTTTGGCCTTGTTCTTACCTGCAAGACAAGGAGAAAGAGAGCAATCAGTCAGCACTTGGAATCAAGCTTCCAGCCAGGAATTGACTGCCTGGAACCCCTTACCTGATTACTTACCTGGCATTGCTCTCGAGTACTCATCTTCAACATCTTATGCTTCCAGGGAAGATACCGCATCTACCTGAGGAACAGATAGGGCAAGTGAGAAGGATACAAGGAAGCATGTGGAGACAAGCGTAACAACACACGTGCCGATACATCCACTACTCTGTCAAAAGAAAAAGTATCCCATATCAGCAGGGTCGAACGTACTCTAGATTTGATGGACTTGTTTTGACCCTCAAATTCTTCAGTCGGCCTTATACTCTGGAGGAAACCAGAAAACCCTCCAGCCCGGTTCAAGAATAAGCTTGTGGAAAGTTACTTCTTCAAAAGCAAAAGTATCCCATATCATCTCTTCTCATTTTTCTTCTCTTTATCCTTCATGCTGCCTGCAAGATAGGGAGAATGTGAACAATCAGTCGGAGCTCTGATTGCTTACCTTGTCTGTCACCTCTTTCAGCAGATCCCCTAGCTCGGCGACTTGGGGGACTCCTACTACATGGTTTGTATCGCGCTTGACCAAGCCTGAAACTACAAGTAAGCTTCAAGTGAAATTGATACATTACCTTGTGCATCTCCACCAGTTACAGATACCACCCCTGGATGGAGGAAGAGTACTTCCAGAGAAGATGACACATCTACCTATGAGACAGATAAGGCAAGTCAAGACGATACCACACTCCGGTACTTAGAAGTTTCGTGGTTACGAGATCATTCTCCCACAATATTTCCTAATGTCATTTGTACTAAATCATTCACTTGTACTCACTAAATGAGAGCTTGAACCTATGTACTTGTGTAAACCCTTCACAATTAATGAGAACTCCTCTATTCCGTGGACGTAGCCAATATGGGTGAACCACGTACATCTTGTGTTTGCTTTCCTATCTCTATCCATTTATATACTTATCCACACTAATGACCGGAGCAATCTAGCGAAGATCACAAAAAGTGACCGTTTTCGCTACCTAGGATCTATCTTGCAAGAGAACGGAGAATTAGATGGAGATCTCAACCATAGAATACAAGCTGGATGGATGAAGTGTAAGAGTGCATCCGGCGTGTTGTGTGACCGTCGTAGGCCACTGAAGCTCAAGGAAAAATTTTATAGGACGACAATAAGGCCAGCGATGTTGTATGACACAGAATGTTGAGCAGTGAAGCATCGACACGTACATAAAATGGGTGTAGCGGAGATGAGGATGCTTCGTGGGATGTATGGGCACACGAGAAAGGATAAGATTGGGAATGAGGATATCCGGGGTAAAGTAGGAGTAGCCAAAATTGAAGGAAATATGAGAGAAAATCGGTTCCGGTGGTTTGGACATGTGCAAAGAAGGCCTACTGACGCTCCGGTTCGAAAATGTGACTACGGGACAGAGGTTCAGGGCCGAAGGGGTAGAGGAAGACCTAGGAAAACTTTGGAAGAGACCCTAAGAAAAGACTTGAGTACTTGGATCTAACGGAGGATATGACACAAAACCGAGCGCAATGGCGTTCTAGGATTCATATAGCCGACCCCACTTAGTGGGAAAATGCTTTGTTGTTGTTGTTGTTGTTGTTGTTGTATTTGATCGGGTTCTTCCTTTTCCTTTTCCTAACCATATACACAGCAACAAAAGCTCCAGACCTCATGGATCTGTCTTCCCTGCAACGTTTGTCTGACATGATTAGAAGAGCCGATTTGCACAGAATTCATCCAGAACTGTTGAATTGCCTCCCTTCGCTATCTTTGCCGTCTATGGATTTTCCCCCCTCAGCTTCAGGGAATATAAGGGAACTTCTCGCCAATTGCTTGCCTGACCGGTTCTCCCATGGCAATCAAACAGAGAATTCTGTTCTGGTATTGTCCTGCTCTTTGATTAAAAAATGCAACTCCAATGCAAAGATGTCTTTGAGTGCTTTTCAAATTTTATTTGACTTTTTTTTTATTCCCTTTACATGCATGAATTTTTTACCCAGCTACTGATGTAAACTTTCTGATAAAGTCTCTATAAAATCCGGTCTATATACCAATGGCAACATACTTTTTAATTGGAAGTCCTTTTGTTTTCCAGCCTTATGCCTTTGTTATTTGTTTAACAATTGCAGGATGGAGTAATGGATGACGTGATGAACATGGTGGCCCCCCTTATGTATCGGCCCATAACAAGGCGGCCCTTCTTTGTGTTTCTAGGTGGAGTCATGTTCTGCTTGCTAGCCAGCAGCACCTGCCATCTCGTTGCTTGCCATTCAGCGCGCCTTTCCTCCATAATGCAAAGATGTGACTATGCAGGCATCACTGCACTCATCATGACCTCATTTTACCCTACTGTCTACTACTCCTTCATGTGCAACCCCTTCCTTTGCAACCTCTACTTAGGTTTCATCACAGTACTAGGTATCACCACCATGGTTTTCTCCCAACTCCCATTTTTCCAAGGACCCAAGTTTCGTAGCCATCGTGCTTCTCTCTTCTTTGGGATGGGCGTGTCAAGTGTCGTGCCTATAGTTCATAAGCTCATATTGTTCAGGAATCAGCCAGAGGCCACCCAGACTGCCGGCTATGAGGTGTTAATGGGGGTTGTTAATGGACTAGGGGCATTGATTTATGCTACAAGGATACCCGAGCGGTGGAGACCGGGGAAGTTTGATATTGCTGGGAGCAGTCACCAGCTTTTCCATATCTTGGTTGTGGCAGCAGCTTACATACACTACCGTGCCGGTCTACTGTACCTAAGATGGAGGGACTTGAAGGGTTGTTAGCTTGTATGAGACTATAGGAGGACCAACATTGGATAATATTATACAGAGGGTATTTCTAGCCCTTCTGTGTTGGATTTGGGTGTGTAGTTAACTTTTGCCTCTGGCCATCTGAAAATTTGTACATATTCCTTTTTACTTGATGAAAAACTTCCAGCAAATGTAATCATAAGTTTGGTAAAAAAAGTTTTTTTTTTTTTTTTTTTTTTTTTTTTGGTGAACATGCCTTTCGTAATGTTTGATCTGAAGAAACTAGAACCCCGCAATCATTTTCGAAGGGAAATGATTCGTGCACACAACTTTGTAGTCGTTTTCGAATGGAAATAAGTATGGGTGTGCAGAGAGGGAAATGCGTGTGCGGAATTGACTTCCCTTTTCAATATGTTGAAAATATTTTGCAATCTCAACCAAACCAAGTTCTACGAAGCAAATGGTGGATTGCTTCTGGTGGTTAGGGCCTTCAACACAATGTGTTTCGGGTTCAAATTCATTCATGAATTTCGTGTAAATTATTCTATTGTTTGTCAAAATAACAAGTTCTTTGAAATGAAAACGTGGTGTTTATTGTTAATATTAATACTTCAACAACAACAACAACAACAACAATTAAAGCAAGGGTGGGCGCGGTTCGGTTTAACATAAAAAAATATCACTAAACCAAATAGCATTTAATAGTTTAGTTTGGTTTGGTTTTGTCCAACATCACAATAGAAACCAAACCATTGTTAATCGTTTTGGTTTGGTCGGTTTAAGCCTATTCCCTACAAATTAAATAAAAATGTCCAACATTTAAAGAGTTTTAATTTTCTAAACATCTATAGACCTCACACATTCCAATTCGATCAAAAAATTAAGTTTTTGTAACACAAATTTTCATCAAGTGAGCTAGGACTAAGTCTCAATTAAATAAAGTGTTATGTTAGCAAACGATTTATTAGTTACAAACACGCATAAGCTTAAACTACAAATAACCTATCACCTATAAGCTTAAAGCTCCTAATTGTTAATAGTCTCTAAAACTTATAATATGTTGAACACTTTTAATGTACGTATGGTTAGACGTCCAAATAACCTATGATTTGTTGATATGTATAAAATAAGTAAAATTATAATTAAAAAAATATATGATCAGTTCGGTTTAGTTTTGGTCAATTTCAAGAGTGAAATAAAGCAACACAAAATCAGTTCGGTTTTTAAATTGTTTGAATTTTTTCTTGGTCAAAATGATACTAAACTGACGAAAGCAGTTTGGATCGGTCGATTTGGATTGTTCGGTTGATTTAATGCCCACCACTAAATTTTAGTGTTTCACACGATCGAGCACAATTTTTCTCTTAACTCACTGCTTCATGAGCGAACAAGATCTTTGAAAATAATTTGTGAAATAATGTTACACCGTCATGTAACGAGTTTTCTTAGCCAAATATTAATCATAGTTTTAGGTAAATCCGGCTATTGACAGGTTCATGGTGATTATAGCCAAATAGTTGGAATTTCACCAATTCTCGTACTTGTTTTCTTTTTTCCTTCAACTTTATTTATTTTTCACTAATAAATTAAAATTTTCATGTAAATAAGAGATCTTAAATTCGAATATCGTGGATATTCCACCTCTCAGTGTAAATATAAAGTTGAGCGAAAGGTCATATTGGGCTCGGATGTCCTATGTTATGGGCTAAACATTTTATAGCCCAAAAACCAAAAGAGCCCACTTTATTTGGTTTCGATATCTCCTTTTATTTGGATACTGAGTTCACCTGTTAACCAAAGCTCGAAACTCATCAATGGAGGTGGCCACCACAGCTTCCAGCTTCGCGCTCCACACGCGCATGTTAGCAACGCCCACCACTCCCCGAGCCCTGAACACTACCCGCCCCCATCTGACGTCGTGTCATTCCCCTACCAAAGCCTCCCTGTCCACCAGCTTCCTCTCTCCCTTCGCCGGCAACAGCCTCTCCTCCGACTTCTCCGGCCACAAGCTCCGCCCTTCCTCCCTCAATCCAGCGTCGTCTCATGGCTCCAAACTCAAACGCGGCGTCGTCACCATGGTACTCCCCCTAATTACCTTCATGCGTTTTACTCTCACCTTGTGTGTGTGTTTTACTGATTCTTTCGATTTAGTAGTAAAATTTCAGCTCAATTCAAATTTAACTGGATGGAATTTGAGATTGTGGGTCATGTTGGTTTCAATTATTGTGTAATGAAGTTTGAAATTTCGAAATCGAATTGAAATTTGTGTGTTTAGGTTATTCCATTTCAAAGAGGAAGTGCATGGGAGCAGCCGCCTCCGGACCTGGCATCATATCTATACAAAAACCGAATAGTGTACTTGGGCATGTCACTTGTTCCTTCGGTGACGGAGTTGATACTTGCCGAGTTTCTCTACCTTCAGTACGAAGACGACACGAAGCCCATTTACTTGTACATTAATTCCACAGGAACAACCAAGGTCAGCAGTCGAGACTCTTTCGTTTATTTTCAGCTAGCTTTAGTTCTAATGCCTGCTTGTTTCACACATTGGCATCTTCGAAGCACACCCGAAGTCAATAATGAACACCCACGCTTTAATTGTTAACTCTTGATACTAGGGATAGGTAGAAGACGAGTGGTTCAATGTTTGTTGATGGTGAAAAGGTAGATTTGGGGAGGGTAGTGTGACAAAATGACTTCACCTCCATTGTCACTTTTGTAGGGATGTCTATGTTTTTCTCTTATTATCGGTCAGTTCATCAGTTGGTAGTAATTGGAGAGTGTATTATAAAAGACAGGAAATAACTTGTGTTGGAGTTTGGTAGTAGTACTGATAGATTTCACGTCAGCAGTTGCTTAGATGTTGGTGATGGTACTGGAGTTAGTTGTGGTAGGGTTAATGGGATTGTTGCAAACTTCCGATGTATGAAAATGGTAGTTCTGATATGATCATAGGTGATGCCAACTTATGGTGGTTGCAAAGGAGAAGGTTTGTGATGGGATTATGGTGGTTGTGAGATTGTATGGTAATGTCTTCATTGGTGGCAGCAGTATTATCACCAATAATTTTTAGAAAGAACTGTAGTTAAATACTGTATAATTTGTAACTACACTTTTATTCTTCTCTTATCCTTTATAATTTTGGGTTGCTTTTACATGACTTCTTTCATAGTTGTAACTGTAAGTGTAATTCAAGTTCTGTTACGGTAACTATGCTGTTTAATCAATTTGGCAGTAGTTGGCTTAGGAGATAGATAATTCTTGCTTTCTTGAGATGTAAGCCTTTTTTCTTCCACTAGATACTTTGACCGAAACAAGGGTGCTTGCTTCTTAATTATTTAGCAATTCTCATATTACGCTTCTTGCCACATTTACTGTGAACAATGAAGATTGTTCAAAAATGGCGCCTTGTTTGTTTTTCTTCTTTTATTCCATATAATAGCTGTTCATTTTATTTGATTCTTATCTTGTATTCTTCAGGGTGGGGAGAAGTTGGGTTATGAAACAGAGGCTTTTGCAATATATGATGTCATGAGGTTATCCATCTTTATGTTATTCTGTTATGTCATGCATTTAATTATCTTATCGTGTTGATCAGTTCTAGTTTGTATTCACTGAATTTAAGAGGTGATCTGAATTTTTGCCCTAAAGGTCGAACTTAATTTCTATTCACCGCAGGTATGTCAAGCCACCTATATTTACTCTTTGTGTTGGTAATGCTTGGGGAGAAGCTGCCTTACTTTTGGCTGCTGGTGCAAAGGGAAACCGTTCTGCTTTACCCTCATCAACAATCATGATGAAGCAGGTTTGATCTTTATCACTAATTTGTTGAGCTTCATGATGGTGTATTATCTAATGTGTTTCTTAATTTTTGTTGGAAGGCTGGGATTTGTACTTTTTTATCTGGTTAAGTGGAACTTATACATGTATTAAATTCTTACCTGAACTTTTCTCTTCTTTGTTTATCTATCTGTAGCCGATTGCGAGGTTTCAAGGTCAAGCAACAGATATTGAACTTGCAAGAAAGGAAGTGAGGAATGTTAAAGACGAGTTGGTAAGATTAGTGGTCACAAACATATTTCTTGCCATCCTTCACTCTGTTCACATTGACTAGTTTGAATGCTGGTTAGATGTTTATGGTTATTCAAAAGTTTCAAAGAATGGGAGAGATTTTTCAATTAGCTCATTTCATTTCTATAATTTTTCTCTTTTGTGTAGTAGGTGGATATGTTTTCTATCTTGGATGTGGATTGATTTTTGGAGTATTTATAATAAACCAGGAATTAACTTAACTCTCTGTACAAGTTCAAAAATATAGCTCAGGAATGTAAACAAAAAGAAGAAAAAAAAAAAGACTCAATTAATTTCAGCATCTACTTCACAGTCCTGGTCTATGTTCAATGGACATGGGTTCCAGGGATGATTTCCAAAAATTTGGACTTGAATATGGCCAAAAACACGGTAATTAAAATAATAATAATCATAAATTAACAATAATATAGTTTAAATATAATAAAAGACAATAGACTTAAAATTGCATAGAATAGAAGGTAATCTCCTCTTCTCATTCAGTTCAAGGAGCTTTCTCAGGCTTTCTCCTCTAGTTCTGCAACAAAGTAAAAGCGCTAGGTCCCTGTATGGTTTTCAAACAGAGAGAGAGAATAGGGAGATGGTTGAGCCTTTAACTGTTTAACATATCGTTTAAATACTATAATTTGACATTATAGTTTTACACATTTCGATTTGACCTATGTAGTTTTGAAATAATTACAAGCTGACAACTGTGTCCTAACCGTATCCCAGCTGTATCCAAAAGAAAATGGTCAATAAAATCGAAGGACACTCCACAATATCCAAAATATGTATTTTTCCATGTCCTATGCAAGTCGTGTCCATTTCAGTGTTAGACACTGCTGCACACACCTGAAAGTAGAAATTGACATGGAGGAATGAAACAAAGAGATGAAACAAATCTATCAATCAAAAGACGAAAGAACTAACACAATCTTGTACATGGAGAGGAACCCCCTTTTTCCCTTCAAAATGAACTTTATAAAATATTATTCTTGGAGCATGATGTAATATGTGCTGTGAGTACAGAAATGACTAATTGTGGTATGTTCGGTGAGTATAGAAGTGACTAATTGTATAGAACTTTGCATTGGAGCGTAGAAATTGACATGCATAATTTCATACCAACAAAAGAAGTGCCTTAGGTGACCTATCAACTCAGTGTTTTATTGTCTGATTTATGTTTTAGGTTAAACTCTTCGCAAAGCATGTGGGAAAGTCAACTGAGCAAATTGAAGCAGACATTAGGCGTCCAAAATATTTTAGTCCAAGTGAGGCAGTTGACTATGGCATCATTGACAAGGTATTTCAAATAGGAGTTAATACATTTTTGTCTAACTCATACCAAACATATGTCACCCATTTCAAATTAATTTCCAGGTACTGTACAATGAAAGGAGTACCGAAGACAGGGGAGTTGTCTCAGACCTTAAAAAAGCACAACTTATTCCATAGGAAGACTTGGAATTCTTATCAGAAGGAATATTCAGGTACAGGGCAATAACAAGATACTTTCAGATTGTATGTTATGGGATGATTCATTTCTGTTGCTCATTACATGAAATTTACCGTATACTAATGTTGGAGTGTATCAATGTTTAAGTGTGTACTGTAGTCAGCAATTGTCCCAAGCTTTCTGGACTGATTTACGCTGCTTGTGATTACTTGTCATCTCCTGGACGATGATTAGTCGGGTTGTGATTGGCTCATTTGGAACGACTAGGTTTGACTTTTTACGTGTAAAGTTCTGGTTATTTGATAAAGCACTCCCTTTTCCCTCATCCACACCAACCCCTTGTGAGTTTGGAAAACTCCATGTTCTTGGGTAGTACCATGGAACATCATGCCATAACATCGACATTGTACTTCTTTTTAGCTTATTTGGTCGCCTCATATGCTATGGTACGATGGCCACAATAATCTGAAAAGCCTAGTATGGAAGAGTAACTAGGGTTTTTGGATCTTTACTTTCTGTTGACTAGGAAATCTCTCTCTGGATGGATGAAGTGGAAGAGTGCATCTGGCGTGTTGTGTGACCGTCGTATGCCACTGAAGCTCAAGGGAAAATTTTATATGACGGTAATAAGGTCAGCTATGCTGTATGGCACGGAATGTTGGGCGGTGAACCATCAACACGTACATAAAATGGGTGTAACGGAGATGAAGATGCTTTGTTGGATGTGTGGGCACACGAGAAAGGATAAGATTAGGAATGAGGATATCCGAGATAAAGTAGGAGTAGCCGAAATTGAAGGAAAGATGAGAGAAAATCGGTTATGGTGGTTTAGATATGTGCAATGAAGGCCTACAGACGCTCCGATTAGAAGATGCGACTACAGGACAGAGGTCTAAGGCCGAAGGGGTAGAGGAAGACCTAGGAAAACTTTGGAAGACACTCTAAGAAAAGACTTAGAGTACTTAGATCTAACAAAAGACATGACACAAAACCAAGCGCTATGGTGTTCTAGGATTCATATAGCCGACCCCACTTAGTGGGAAAAGGCTATGTTGTTATTGTTGTTTGGTATCATTTATATGCCTTTTCAAAATTTCACTACTCACAATCTCTCCCAGTTTTAATTCTCAACCATTCCATTGCTCTAGTATGAGGACAATTTGGTTCTGGATTTGCAAAGTAATTGCTTGTTCTTTTCATGGCCATACCACCTTTACCACTATTTCTCCTTATGATTCAGTAAGGAGACACTTGGCAGAGGTGCTGTCCTTTTTTTCGTTTGTTGATTGGTAAATTTGGGAGTGAAGATGACTAATGAGGTTTTGGTGGATGGTATGTTTTATTGTTTGTAATTTTGGTTGTCTCCAACAAACATCACCCTTTCTTCTTTCCTTTTCAACCCAATTTACAAGTGTAAGAGAGAGGTGAGAAAGTAGAAGATTTGGTGATATTAACCGTACACATACTCAGTGGACTGTGTCCACCGATTCTCTTCCATTATTTGCTCTAAGTGGTTGCCCCATTTATGCAAGTGATGTCATTTTTTTAGCCCATTTTATGGTGAGTCACTTTCTTTGAGTTGGAACTCCCTCCTAGAACCATGGTATAATCATTGAGAACAAATTAGTTAATACATGTTTGGAAAGTTTGCATCATTGTAGTTGAAACAAGTGTGTTATTACTGGGTTCGTGAAGTCTGTCTTCTTGCCCGTAGTTGTGTAATTTTTTATTACAAGTGCTGGATCAACAAGCTTAGATCAGAGAATATGCTTTGCCTAAAGCGCTAATTAAAAAAGTGCTTTTGCTGAGGTCAAAACAGCAGAAAGTGTGTCTATGCTGCAAATGCTAAATACTTTAATCAAAGACTAGTTAATATCAATGCACTATGTTGATCCAAATTAGGTAAGTTTTGTACATGTTCTAAATTGATGTTGAATGAATGGTAATGGAGTTAAACTTCAAATTTGTGACGATTGTGATATCTCATTGCGCGTTGTGCATTCAAACTTGTGATTTCAGGTTGAAGTTTATGCGGTGATTGTCGTGGAGAATGCTCGGGCAAGAGTTGCACCATGCACGGGAAAAACTGGGCATCCAGCTTCCAAGTGGTAACACAAATATTTTCCAGCAAAGCAATGCATAATACATAGCCTAAACTTATATCAAGCACAAAGAACCATCTGTGTAAAACAGTTGAAACGAAAGCAAGTGTTTTTCTTTTGACTTTTAATCATCTGCGTTTGCTGATTTTTTGTTAATTTGTAATTAATCATCTGCGTCCCACGTCGGCACACTGTTGCGTCTAGTACAATCTTGAAGAAGAGGGAACACCAGCAGGATCACATTTGAAGGTACGAATGTTTGTGATAGTGGTTAAGATAATGAAGGAAATGATTGGTCGCTAATCTCGTATTACAGAATTTAAACAGACGTCCAAGTGCTTACGAACTCAGCACAGAGAAATGATATGCTTGCAACAAGGCAGATGGAGGGCAAAGGATGACGATTCACCTACCCCCCATTTGGGATTTGGACAGGAAGCCTACTCTGATTGGACCTCATTAGCCATTGCTTCCCCTCACCTCACCTCGACTCGAAACTTATCCTAGTTTTGGTCATTACGTCACTCTCCCTCTCCGATTGACGTAACGCGGAGAAGGGTAGACCTGTTTTAAGAGAGACGATTCTCGCCGGATCCTCTTTGTGAGGATTCTAGGGATTCTCAAATCAAATCCGTTCATCGTACATCGTACGATTAGTTTTTGTTAGGTAGTATTTATATTCAATTTTAAATAAAAAAATTTACAATGATTTCAAACCGTACGATGTGCAATGAACGGATATGATTGGAGAATCTAGAGAGGATCCTACTGACTGTTTTAAAAGTTAAACATGTCAAAGTTCTCCCTTCATTAACTTTTTCAAATAAATTTCTCTTGTTTTGGTTGGTTGAAGCCAAACGTGTCAAAATCTTAAACCCAATTAACCAGGGAAATTATAAGTGCTCATCCTCTAATCTTAAACTTTGACACGGCATTAGAGGTTAATGCCTTGGTTTTTAGTCACTCCGAGTGAGTCTGAATCTGATAGACGTACTCGGTCACTCGGCATGTCAGTGCGTTACAACCAAACACGACGATGGCTTTGGGGTTTCAATCAGTCCACTTGTTTATATCCCATAGCTCTCGGTATTTGACTCAAAACACCAATTAAATATCTCAAGGATAATCTACCAGTTCCCAATTGAAAGTCATTTCCACTCATTTAAATCATGTGACACATTTAAAAAAGTAATGGGATCAGTTTCTCGGCTATAACCTTAATATTGCATATAGGTAGCGAATCTAATTGTAAGACATGTATAAGACACGAATTTTAACATAACTGTAAAAACAACAAATGCAAATGACTAAACTAACAATTAAAGATCCATAACAAGTAAATCTAGCATAAACCGCATCCAAGCCCACATAACTCAAAACAACCAAAATTATAAATTAATCCATAACCCTAATTCATAACCATCCACACGAATTGAATTCGCGCTACCATTGAACTCTCCACATCTAGCAATGATCTGAGAATCTATAGAACAAAGGAAGGGTACGAAGAACAGTCAATCTCCAATGATCCAATTGCTCATACTAGCGGAAAAGAATCGTGTAATAGCAACTAGGAGTCATCACCAGACAATGTTGGCAAAAAATAAATGGGCAAGTCACACTGAAGTCTTTCAAATCGGCCATAGAAATAAAACTAGAGAAAGCAGAAAAAATTGGAGCAGGCATTCTTGGAAGGATTGGAACGAGGGAAGAGCAAAAAATAGGTGATTTGTATTGCAAACAAAGCAGAGCTCATACTACGTCGCCCCAATAGACTCGTTAATTGTTACTACAAAAACTAGAAACGGTCCTCATCCCCTCTCTGGAGGCTTTGGTTTTTATCTCTAGGAAAACTTCACCGTCATCGATCGTAAATTTTGTCTCTCTCATAACGCGATTAATTACAGCCATATAGTATGAACAATCATGCTCTTAAGTGTCTCAATTGTTATTAGTAATAATTTGTACGCAAGGTACATAAGTATTGGTTTTCGTCCAACCTACACAACTAGGGAGGAATAGACACAGAATGGTCCCAAATGTAATGATAGTTTAAGAACACCCTAACTTAATTAAACCTGCACATTCAAGGAACGAGAGAAAATGTTCAGCTCGGCTATTTGTGAATTATATAATATTCCCTCCACTAACACATAGTAATATGTTTTCATACATCCCATTTAAAATTGATAGTCTTTTTGATGAATTTAATAATGATAAGACGAGAGTTTACATTTGACAACTATCCCACTATTAGAAACAGTAATTTTTTTCCAAAATTATTGAGACTACGTGAGACGAGACTGGACTCAGACTTTACCTATCCAGTCCCGCCCACCAAACGGATCAACATCGGAGGCCCAACGTGAAAGTACACGTTATCAATCTAATCCAAAACTCCAGAGCTCTCCTATTTCTTTTGCACCCTGTAGTTCCAAAGTGGAAGAAAAGGTATGTACCACCTCAGCATGCACCCTCCCCCCTGCCTCGACTATAAATATTGGGACTAAGATACCTTTGCTCTCACAACCCTCCTAAACTCATTTGCTTAATCTATCTGATTATCGTCTTACTTTGCGATAATTAACTTCCTTGCATTGTCTAGGAAAAACTTTGTCACACAGAGACATGGAGTTTTTCCTTAAGGACATAACTTGGTTTCTTTGTATCATGTTACTGTTGCCTGCACTATGTACCTCTCAAGACGCATTTGTTTCCTCTAGAGCAACCTACTATGGTAGCCCAGACTGCTACGGGACCCCAAGTATGTGTAGCTTTCTTACTAATCGATGTTTACGTTCATAATATATTTGTGCGTGTGCATGACAGTTTTGTTGCTAGACTGTTAATCAAAAGCATTGTTCAAGTAGAACTGTTTTTGAACATGTGATTTTGATTGATAGCATGCGAAAATAACATATTAGCTTATCATGCAAAAGAAAACTATTAAATGTATAGTAGTGTAACATTCTCTACCAGACTTGCAACATGTTGACCATGTAAGTATATTTGCATTCTAGATAACTTCAACATTATAAAAGTTTAGATTTACAGTTTGATAACATAACCACGTTAAGTCATCAGATAGTGTGACAAAAGAATATTTCCATGCACATAAGTATATTTGATTATGATATATGCATATTCACAGTGGTATATTACTGATGCAGCTGGAGCTTGTGGGTTTGGAGAATATGGAAGAAAGATCAACGACGGTCAAGTAACCGCAGTTTCTGGGCTGTGGAGGAACGGAACTGGCTGTGGTGCATGCTACCAGGTACATCCACTTCCTCAAAGTTCTCAATAATTTAGTATGTGACGAAAAGAACAGTAATACTCATGTTGATTAGCACTAAGCATATACAAGTAATCATGCCGGGCGGGCTTTTTTAAATTAATCATATCGATAATTAACATAATTAAGTATACTGTAGTTAATAGTGAGTGTGGTTTCATCAGGTGAGGTGCAAGGTCCCTCAGCATTGCAGCAGTGATGGGGTAACTGCGGCGGTGACTGACTACGGCGAAGGCGACAGAACTGACTTTATCTTCAGCGCAAGAGCTTATGCAAAGTTGGCAACCAATCCAGCTTCGTCTGAGGTATTATTTGCTTCCGGTGTCGTTGAAATCGAATACAGAAGGATCCCTTGCAAGTTCTCTGGTAACAACATTGTGTTTAAAGTCCATGAACACAGTAAATATCCTCAATACCTTGCCATAGTCATTCAGGATGTTGCTGGGGTAAATGACATAACAGCTGTTGAGGTTTGGCAGGTAAAAATTCAACTGCAACTCAATATTTCAAATACAACTTACCATGTTATTGATATTTCGTAAATGTGATTCGTGTAACATTACTGGTCTGATTAAAAATATTTTTTACTTTTGTTGGGGCAGGAGGATTGCCAGCAATGGAGGCCAATGAGGAGAGCATATGGAGCAGTGTGGGACCTTCCAACCCCACCAATGGGGTCCCTTAGCTTGAGGTTCCAAGTGAGTGGCAGTGCAGAGGTGAAATGGGTGCAGGCAAACAAAGTCATCCCTGCTGATTGGAAGGCTGGGGCTGCCTATCAGTCGGACATTCAGCTCAATTAGGAGGACACTAATTTAATTACATGTTGATTAATATTATTGCTTTTTATGTTTAGTTGCTTGGCTTGGATTTGGTATAAAATAATTAGAAGTATTAATTATTGTATGATGCTGGTTAGGAACCAGTGCACTTGGCTTTGATTTGCCAAGGATTAGTGGGGTTCTGTACCTTCAGTTGGTGAGGTTATATAATATGAATGAATAAAGTTCCACCTTGTTGGATACTTTAAGCTTGCTTTATAAACAAAGTTTGTTATTGTATTATACCAAAAACTTTTGGAGTGCTCTCTCCGAGTATCTGGTACTTCGGGTGTTTTAACCGTTGAATTTTAATTTTTATATTTTCAAACAAAGATCTAACGGTTAAAACGCTCAGAATATGAAATACTCTGAAGTATTTTAAAAGACAACAAATAAAGATCAGCTATTTATATATATAATAAAAATAAGGCAAAACCAGAAATGCATAGATTGAAAAATAAAATAAAAAAACCAGATTCGTAAAGCAAAACATAGACGTACTCCTTTGAATGTAGAACTTCATTCGGATTGCTTAACCAGCAAGCAGCTAAACCGACTACCTTTGTTTTGACCTTGCTTAAGCCATCTCCTGTGGTTCAGGGCTAAACGTGGCCCGTGTCATTTTTAGCCTTTAATGAACCATGTAGCAAGATCTCAGATAAGATTTTGCTCTGCGCGGCACCTTGTCATGATTGAATCTTTAGCATTTCTCAAATATGGTTTTTCGAGTGACATCTGACAGTTCGTGAGCAACTTTCGAGATTTCTGAATAGATTTTTCTTGACGTGATATCTTTTATTATGATTGAATCTTTATCATTTTATTAATATGATTTTCGAGTGAAACGTGTCAGTTCGTAAGAAACTCTCTAGATTTTTTATTAAGTTTGTCTCGACGTGACACCTCTTATCTTTAGCTTCACGTGTGAATAAATGATGTGCATTGAGTTCCATATCCTCACTACTTCATATTCTTCCATTGCAATTTCTCTCACTACTTCATACAACTCTGATTTCAGTTCCAACTTGGATTATAAAAGAATATGAAGAAGACGATGCTTAGCTGCGCATAACGAGTGGAATGTCCAGCCATAAGAGATGACCTTATATCCATTTTCTCAAAGACATGCCATTTCAGTCTACTCAAGTGATCAATGACGGAGCTAGCATGGGTCATTGGTTGTCCTTGATCCAAACAACTTCAAAAGCTCCATATATGTTTGTTTTGTATATTGTATTTGACACCTATAAACACTTAAGGCAAATTAAATTACAACCTCCTCCTCCTCCTCCTATTTTCTTCTATCATATTTGTATTCCTTTTCTCTCTTGTATGAAATACTTTAGTCGAAAGCCTTGGCATCCTTCAACATCACTCTACAATATCATGTATATACTCTCAACAAGTCTACAAATAATAGTAGTTGTCGACATAAGTTAGCATAAACTTTTGGCATATGTTGACAAGAATTCTTAAATACCTACTAGGTGCTCAACGAAATGATCCAATGAAGCTTTTTTCGTTGTTATTATGACCCCATTATTTGAAAATCCTGACTACGCAACGATTGGGCTTATAATTAGAATTTTTATTTTATTCTTAGTACAAATGATATTTTTACACTAGGGTGAGGGAATAACTAGTCTCAAATTTGTCATCTACAAGATTCGAGCTAAGACCTTTCATTCACAAAGAAAAAAAAATACTACATGACCGTAGTACTAGTGACATTTAAAAATTATCATTTATGAAATTAGGTACAAAATTTTGAATCTAAATGATTAAAAATTGCAATGGAAGGTATAATTCGTAATCAAAACCTATTAATATTAGGAAAGATAAATTTCCCGATACAAAAATCTAGTTCGCACCCTTAGTTATGTTAAAAGGAAAAAGGGAAAATGAAGGGAAAAAGCATCGATTTGAATATTAGCAATAGAAATTTCATGATATTACTCATAGTTTTCGAGAATAACACACATGACACAGGCTCATCGTCACAGTAGTGTCCCATGTCAATAAATTGAAGAACGTGAATTTTTGTCCATGTTTTTATTTCATTAACACAAGACCACGTGGCTATGAACCCGTGTCATGTAAATTCTTGTTTTCTTCTCCTACACACCCCTTTTATTTCTAACAATCAAATTAATTAAACCAAACAAAATAAGCTGTCTAAATTAAACATGGATGTGTAAGGAGCGAAAGGACGAGTGATTAATATTTACTGTCATTGCAAAAGCTATAATTTTTATTTTTTCCCCCATGTTTATGCCTTTGATTACCAATGCATTGCTGCCCAACATGCAGGACAAAAATTTATATAGACTACAAAATTGAAACAATCTCTAAGTTGAGTGTTATTTTTGTGCGTCTAAATAACACTACTCTGTTTTAATCACACAAGAGGAGAACAAAGCAACAATACCAACATGAAGAAAAGAAAATTTCATTAAATGACCTCTAAAATCTAAATGAAGAGAAGACATTATCTATCTACAAGCTGAGAGAAAAATCCGCGAAACATACAGAAAAAAATAAATTGCTCATCATACAAGAGTAACAATCTTGCGAAGAAATAAACAACGTAATCATTCCAAGGACTTTAGGAGCCTAAACAGTGCCGCTGCTTCCCTAATCCGCGAGAACTCTATGCAAAAAGCTTGGACTTCGATGAAAAGATCCTTAACTGCAAAGACGGCCATCAACAAAAGTAAGCAACATAACGTTGAGATTAAAAACTGTTACTTCAACTGTTCATACAACAAATGTACTTAGCATCCCATTGATTGACTGTTTCTACATCAAGCATGCGTGTTCAATCAAAATCAAATGACCAATATAACAATGAATTGCAAGTAGAGAGTGACAGACCATTGATAATGTCGTTTCGGATAAGGCTCTGAAGAAACACGCAAACAAGTCTCACAAGTCTGTTCTGCATGTATTTATCCTGAGAGTAAAATATCCAAAACTGCTTAAGGAACATACAAAATAAGAGTTTGGTACCAACAAACAAAAACCATCATCTAATACCTTCTGACAGCGAGTGAGGGAGGAAGAAAGAATTATAATCAAAACAGACAGCTCATTTTGAGCTCGTGAAGCATGCACAATGCTACACACACATTGACAACTTCATAGCTTTACTTTATGGGAGGGTTTGGGAAAACCAAATAAAACCACGACGACTTTAACAAGTAATAGTTTACACTACAGTAAAAGCCAGCCTAATTGAAGAATAAAAGAGAATGCACATGTCCCCTTGCGCCTTCAACTAAGGAACCCTAACCAACCTATATTACTCAGTTCAATCAGCAAACACTAGCATGTTGTTTTGCATCACTTTCCTAAAAATGCAGGGCCCTAAAAGAACCTTAAATAGATAATCCCTCATTTGAACATCTTGAACGGAGAATAGGGGGAAGCAGGATTTTAAAGAAAGAGCGACAAATTTCCCCTGTTCAAGCAGGCTCACTACATAGCTTCTAAACCTCATCATAATAAACGTAATAGCTCCTAAACATTATTAGGATGAAATTGCAGACAGGGAAGTTACACTCAGGTAAGATAACAAATGTATTTGAAGCAATGCACTAGGTAAGAAATGTATTGCAAGATCAAACAGAAAAACATAGATGCATGAACACTTAAACAAGACGGAAAACAAATCTTATTATCACTCAAACTTAGTCTCCTCATTCGCATCCTTCAACATCAGAACGCCTCAACCCATCCTAAGCATCATCCTTGTGTTTATACTCTATTCCTTCCATTGACAAACCTTTATCCAATTAGATGGCATTTGCTGACATGGCATGGTTGGCATTGAAGAATGCATCACGCACACAAATCTTCTTCCTAACCCTAAACCCTAAGGCCACTGCACTGACACCAAAAGAAGCCACTGACCTAATAACCTACCACCATGCACATCCTTAACGAATCTAGCCAGCCTATTCAAAATTTCTCCTCCTAACAAAAATCTACCCCTTTTACTTATCTCCCAATTAGTATTATAGCATGGAACCATTAAAGGAAAAAACAATCTGAAACTCATTACAATTCAACTGTTTGCATCAAGACTTGAACTGTGCCTTTGAATCTTAGAATACTTATAACCACAGTCCAGAGGCAAGGTGTGAGCAAGTACCTTGATGTTCTCACAAGATGATATACAATTTGTTATGTACATGTGTATGAACCCGGAAGGAAGTTCAACTGCTGTAGTAAGCCTGTTCACCACTTCCATTGAGTGCAGACTCATGTCCATATTGACAAGCACTGTAAAGTATCTGTGGCCACAAACAAAATTTTTACAGAGCATAAAAACCTTGAAAATGAGGAAGTTTAAAGTTTACAAAAGAAAATAGGAACAGGTATAAAAAATAATCTCGTATTCTCTGTAGAATTAGACACGCAAGGTAATCATAGAAACTGAAGACATACCCTGCAATTTCAGGGGATTTTATCAGCTTGGTGAGGACTTCAACTGCAATAACGGGATTATTTTCCACCAATTCCTGAAAACAACAATTGAGGAATTATACAGGTATTAGATTAAATCATACTAATGTTGTTGACTGAGATTTATGTGACAACACTTACCGGTAGCTTTCTTGGTGTCAGCCCACAGTGATATACAAGTTTTGGGTCATTTGCCAGCTCCAACAAGACTTGCTGGACAAGGAAAGGCAAAGCATTAGGTCATCTCTTCCTTCAAAATGACTGACGTAAGATATAAAATCAAATAATATGAACTCCTCAGTTAAATGAAGCCATCAAGAACCCTCTATCGTTAATAATTTATTTTATCAAGTATATTATTTGCGGGATGGAGAATGAGACCATAGGGCAACCACTTTAGTAGACATGTCCAAGTGCCACTACAAACTGGACTATATCCCGGCCACATAAATTTCCCCAGATAACACTAAATTTAGAAACAACGCTAAATTCAAAGATGCTTCAAGGTATCATTTCTAATTGACTCCAAAACTCCAAAATCCTAACACTAATTCAGCTCTAGTTGATCTATACATATAAACCTTGGGGTCCAAACAGGAAGGGCCTACTTTCAAGTTTCAGCGTTTTGTTCTGAGGCCAGGCATCACTACGACTTCTAGCCTCACCAAAATCCTATAAAAAAAAAAATCATTCCATGGCTGGATTGGGCAACCAATATTCTAACCCTCCCCACTTAATAAGTTTGGGATTTGGGATGCCA